ATCAGGGATATAAATTATTCAGTAGGTTCAAAATAAACATTGTTCTGATTTGAGATGTATGCCAAGCAAAGCGACAACCATGTAGCCAAATTACTGATCATACAGATTTATGCTAATAAATGATTGTTTCTTCAATATGGAAGTATTTTATTTACTGTCGAAATGAAATTAAGAATCAGGACTCTTTACATGTTTTACTACGAAAAAATATGAAATGCACACACAGAAGGCATAAAATTATTTTTTTTTTTTTTTAAAAGGCTGGTGATCTGAAAGTACAGATATCGGATGTGTGGATTTATTATACTTTATACTGTAGTAAGCAAAATGCCATATTTCTGAAAAAAATGCTTTTTTTTTTCTAGTAGCAGGTCTACAGTAGCATTACGATTGATTCGTTACAAGGAGGGGACAAAAAACAAAACTCCATACTAATCGCAACAAACAGAAAACACAAACATGATCCTCTAATTTCAAAACTAGCCAGATAAATGGCACCACTACCAGATAAATGGCAACATTAAATTCATACACAGCCATTAGTGGGTTGCAAGATATACACATTTTCATAAAGTTCTGGGTTGCCTACTTAAGCGACCACCACTACCCAGATAAAGCGATAAATACTTAAGCGACCACCACTACCCAGATAAATGGCAACATTAAATTCATACACAACCATTAGTGGGTTGCAGTTCTGGGTTGCCTACTTAAGCGACCACCACTACCCAGATAAATGGCAACATTAAATTCATACACAACTATTAGTGGGTTGCAGTTCTGGGTTGCCTACTTAAGGCAACATTAAATTCATACACAACCATAAATGGCAACATTAAATTCATACACAACCATTAGTGGGTTGCAGTTCTGGGTTGCCTACTTAAGGCAACATTAAATTCATACACAACCATAAATGGCAACATTAAATTCATACACAACCATAAATGGCAACATTAAATTCATACACAACCATTAGTGGGTTGCAGTTCTGGGTTGCCTACTTAAGCGACCACCACTACCCAGATAAAGCGACCACCACTACCCAGATAAATGGCAACATTAAATTCATACACAACCATTAGTAGGTTGCAGTTCTGGGTTGCCTACTTAAGCGACCACCACTACCCAGATAAAGTGATATATACTTAAGCGACCACCACTACCCGATTAAGATATATACTTAAGTGACCACCACTACCCAGATAAATGGCAACATTAAATTCATACACAACCATTAGCGGGTTGCAAGATATACACATTTTCATAAAGTTCTGGGTTGCCTACTTAAGTGACTTAGCACTTTGCCAGGTGATTCTTCTCAAGGTTGGAAGGATAATCAGCAGTACTCAAAAACCTACTATATTTTTATACCAATTTCTTTAGTGACAGTATTTTCTTTCATTAACTTTCAATCTTAGTTCTAAATTTAGTAGTTCTTTATTACAGCGCCCCCCCCCAACGATATTTGGCAATTTTAGATTTGCGCCGAGATCTCAGCTGTAATTTCATTAAGCTCGTGAAGCATGAACGTAAAAATAAGCAACACAGCATTTAATAACAATAATACTCACATATCATTTCTTAAGAATATTTTTAAGAGGCTTTATCCTTAGCTTTATTATTTTATCGCATTTAATTGTTTCAGTCAACTGCAGCACTCTCATGCATATTAAGCCGTTCGTTACACTATTTCATGGACCTCAATTCCTCTGGCCAAGAATACATAAATCGCAGAGACGAACGATATTTTGGAAGCGATGAACCAATTTCTGACAAGGACCTTTTATTTTTTTTTTTTGCAATTTTTAACATTGCACCTCAAAATGCTTTTGTCATTAAAGTTTCATGTTGGGGCCATTTTCACATGCTTGTTTGTCAGATAAAAAGACCTCTTTCTTAAGCGAAAAAAAAAAAGTACCCGCCTCGCTGCTTGGTAAGTTAAAAATTCTTAACATACACACAGAATATAATTAAACAATGCAAATTAGAAAAACTCATCAGGAATGAATCATATAAGAACATGTGGCGAGAGCAAAAATGCATAATGGTGCTAATATACGATAACGTGGTGAAGTGTAAGAACACGCAGGCACATTTTGGTGTGATATCTCTGATGATTGATGAGGGCTGCTATAACAAAGAAGTATCTTAAATTTACTATTTTTATAATTTCTTGGTATTTTGTGATTCTGTAAACCCGCTGATAAAGCATGGCAAAGTATTTGTGAGGCTAAGCAGTATATTGCCTAAAAAATTATGTGACAACCCATAATGTCGTCAAAAAATGTTTATGTGGCAACCAAGCATGGACATAGCAGACGGCTGTTTTGGCTAGTGCGCAACACCAAATGATATTTATTATCCTGTCCTTCATGGTTGACAACATATTATCTTGTCAACAATGAAACTACAGCCAAGCAACAGTTATGAATAGGCATGATAATACTTGTTTTAAGCTGGCGTTGTTCTGAATATGACATGCCAAATTCAAAAGGTTCACCATTACTGCATTAGAAAAATTAGTACTGTTTTGTTACCAGGACTAATTCAGAAATATATTGAATGTATACGCATGTGCGTATATGTATATGTTACGGTGAAAGACCGAAATCTGGAGAATGTCGACTTTCACCGGTGAATGTCAACATTCACATAGTCGCTTGGTTATGTCCGAAATATTTCTCCAAATACTCTTATTTCTGACTTACAACTGTAAATGTCGACATTCACCAATGTACTAATAGTGAATGTTGAACATATGAGAATGTTATATTTTCCTTCTACGTAATTCAGTTGCGAAAAAAACGCACTTGAGACTTAAAATGAATAAGAACTTAAGAACTTAAAACACACAGTACATTTCAAAATGAGAAAGGAAAATAATATAAGTTAAAAACTTACCTAAATATGTGATTCAAATCTTATTTATTGCAACAACTTAAACTATTATGACACTCTGAATTGCACAAGAGGCCCTTGCTTTTACAACTGCATTTATTTATGGAACATTTCCTTTTGGAATGGCAGCGTGTACCTATACTCCTCTCTTTTCGACCTACACCAGAGCATATCTGTGATTGTCAACATACACTGGTGAGAGTCCGAATGTACAAGAATGTAAAGAAATATTCGATCTTTCACCAACGTATATGGTGAATGTTGACATTCTCCAATTTCGGTCTTTCACGGTAACATATATAAATATTTGCATCATAAACGGAAGTATATGTCAAAGAACTATGGTTTTAAGATAAAGGCCCTGTATTTGTATTTTTTTAATTTAAAACTTTTTAATCTTATAATATTTGATTCTTGCGATTTCATAAATTTTGACTAAAATATTAATATTTGATATTAATATTTGAATAATAATATTTGACTAAAATATGAATAACATTTTAAGAAACCAAATGTAGGATAAAATTGTGTAAAGCAATGGGCACAATGATAAAACTTTTTAAAGCAGTGTATGCAAGTCATCGCAAGTTAACATGTTGGTTATACATCTCTCTTATTTATATATATCTCTTTTCTGAAAGGAACATTGAAAGGCATGTTAACTGTGCTTTACTGTATTTTCTCTTTTAATATATGCAGTTCTCAAATGCATCGTAGTCTAGGTTACAAAGTATTCTTCCGAAAGAAATGCAATTCATATAATAAAATCAAGGGCTGATCTTTGGAATATGGTAACAGGTAGTTTGGCGACATTTTGGAGGCGATAAAGGTTACTGTCTAGGACTTTGGTAATAATGTGAGAAGCACTCAGTTCCGATTACGCATTATTTTGTGTGAGGGAAATGAGAGATCATGAGATATGTCATGTGACATTAATGGACGAATTATAGTTCTTTGATCGGAAAAGGGGGTAAATTTGGAAAAATTATTTTGTATTAAGCTTCATTGTGTGTTGTGTGAAATAGTGTTGATTAATTGTCGGATTGCATGGCGCTATGTAAAGTGAATTCTAAATTTTTAATACGTAATAATTAATAATAAGTTGACTACTGGATTTTGGATTTAGAAATTAGCAGTAGTACTGCAGCCGATTGGAACTCTTTCTGTAGGGAAGTGTGCGTGCCACGTAATGAAGATTCTGAAGAAGATTAGGTAAGTTAGTATTTTTAATCATTTGAGGATATTATTTTTATGTATTGTTCTAAATGTAAGGAGTAAATAAATTAAAATGGTATTATTGGAAAATTGTTATTAGCAATGATTTAGTTTAAAGTAATTAGGATTGTAATCTATTTTTTATTAATTTAATGTATGTGCTTATTTATATTTTAAGTAGTGTTTTTTAATTTAATTATTTTAATTTAATGATCGTGATTTTGTGAGTTATATGTTTGTAGTATTTTGGAATACATTTGAGTAGTATACGTTGAGTATTTTCAAGCATTTTCATGAAATTTTTCTAATTTATGAGAAAAAAGCAGTGTACATGGATATAGCGAAGACTGTGTGCAGTGCCATTTTTGTGCAATTCTGGGATTTTTTTTTAAGTAAAAATAAGTCGACGTGTACATGGTTTAGTGATATTTTAATTAAATGATAGTTATTTTGTGAATTTTATGTTTGTAGTTTATGCAATTCTTTGACTTTTTATTTTGGTTTTTTGTAGTTGCCATCTTGAAATTGTGTCTTCCTGGCGGCGATCTTGGCGTCCAAAAAAAAAAAAAAAATTGCCCTTGTTTTTTACAAGGGGCACCCAATTGTAAACTTTTACCAAATATTTTACTACAATTTTAAGTTATTCAAGCTTTCCTTAGACTAATCTTGAATATGAATCATGACTAATGCGATTTTTTTATGTTATAAATACTAAAAAGCAATGACTGCAAGTCTAATGCAACTCACCCTTTCCCCATTTTTTTAATGAAATTCAACTACCAATAAAATGCGATTTGAAACCCATTAAAATCCATTTTCTCACGAATTCAAAAACTAAAAGTAATATGTTTATTTAAACTGGCAAAATAAAACTTTATATTCACCTTTCCATCTGTTTCCTTGCTGCATCCAGTTTCCAGACATTCAACTTGAATTTTAACGTCTACCAAATATGATATATAATTTAGGAATTTCACACATTTTTCCTGGCAGTCATCATTAACAGCACCCATAAAGAGCACACCGGGATGGCTCGTTTCATTCATACACAAAGAATAAAGGTACAAAACGAACAACTGAATACAGTGAACAGGTACACCCAAATTCAAAAGCACATTAATATCATCCACAAATATGATGAAACCATTTTGTTCATGAGTTGAAGTAATTACCTCAGTTGCTTCTTGAATCGAACAATAGAGATGCTTTAGACAATTAACATTACTACAGTCAAGGTGTGGGCTTAATAAACGCTGACTATCATTTTCATCTAGTTTTTCTGCATCAGACAGTACACTTACAAATTTTATTCTCTGTTGATCATTCAATGATCTGACATTTACTCCTGATTTTAGAAGCACGTGATTATAATGGTTATATGATTGTGATAAATTAACAATAATGAAAGAATAATTTTGTTTTGAGTAACAAGAAAGAATATCAGCGAAAACAAAAGTACTATCGGTGAAAGCATCTCTTGTTACTAACACAAACTGTCTCTTTTTAGAACCACTCGCCAAATCTAAACTATTAGAAATATTGAAGGTCATCTTTTTTTCCCCTAATTAAACAAGACAGCATAAACAGCACTATAACCACGTTGAAAACTGCCAACAGGTATTTCATAAACAAGTAAATTCAATACACACGCTTCCGAGTTAGACAAAAGTAAACAGATTTCTTGCTTTGCACTCGCAAAGTCGTTCTGCCCAGAGGGAAGAACTGGAAGGTGCGAAAAAAAGGCAAATAGAGGGTAGCATCTGACAGACAGACAGACAAAGTAGACAGATGTCTTGTTTTGCACCCGCTAAGTCTTTCTGCACCGATGGGCGAAAAATCAAGCATAGGTGCGAAGGAAAGGTATATAGAAAGAAGGGCAATTTCGTATTTGAGGAGAGTAAAAAGGAACTTCGTACATCTTGTACGAGTTCAAAAGGCCAGGAAGAAAAGATCGGACAAAATAAAATTTAAAATAAATGGCCCAAAAATAATAGAGAAAAAAAAAAAAAAAAAAAAAAAAAAGGGCCTATAGAAAGAAAAGGAAAAGAAGTAGAAAATATCCTAAAATACGATTGTTGTCCATGAGTGTAGTTAAAAGGAGAGAAGAAACTGTCTTCATTTACAATAAATAGTGTCTCACAGGTGTGTTTGTGTAGCGAGTGTGTTTGGTAATGGTGAATAGATGTGTTACTGGGGGAAAAATCAAATATTGACGGTGTTAAAATGCTTCGTATCAAGGTATTTAGCATGGAATATAAAGTAATATGTACGCTTGCATCCTGAGATATCAACAAAGGTCATCAAACAAAAGTATATATTAATTTAACCAAAGTAACTTATGCTACTTTCATTCTCAACATTTTCATACATTTTTCAAAAAGCAGCAGCAGACTAACAACATAGAACCATATACAATACAAGACCACAACCGCATACACCCAAAAAAATAAATAAATAAATAAATAACAAATAAAATATATATATATGTTATGTGTGTAAATTACTTAGTATATGTATTAAAAACACAAATTAAACAGTATTATTAATTTAACTATCATAATTTATTACAAGATTAATTATTTTATTATCATAATTTATTACTAGTTAAATAATGTTAATATAACACAATGAGGCACACTGTTATTTATATAAGCTCATAGTTCTAAAAATTCATTTGAGGCGGTGAAGAATAAACCATCCCTTACATATGGACATTTAACAGATAGCAAAGAACAGTATGAGAAAAAATCGGTGAGGTATAATATTATTTAAAGGCGAAACTATATTCAAGCGATCTAGAAAGAAAAGAGAATCCAGAAGATCCGAGAGGGAAATAGCGCGATGCCCAAATTATCCCTCTCATCCCCAAATTTTCCCTCTCTCGAGATTCCTTAAGGGCTTTGTAAGTGTTGACAGACGTGAACTGATAACGCTGGCGTCTGTTTCGAGTTGATACACAAAGGAAGCCACCAGCAGTGGCAATTTCAAGTATTTTTTAAGGCTTTAAACTGATGAAAAATTAAGATTTATTGATTTAAAGGCACTTATTTATAGAAATTTGATTTAGTTTAGATGAAAGAAAAGTACTTATCTTAAAATTCCAGGCTTTTGGAGTATATCCTTACATTGTCCGCTGTTTTATTCTCGTCAACATCGGAGCCGAAATTCATTGGAATGATATAGGTTTTGTAGGGGAAAAATAAACATTTTTCAAAGAAATTTAATTGATAATCACCAAGAGGAAAGGAAAAATTTTCACGTTTTTACGGAGCGCAGCGATCGTGCTGCCGCTTGCCTCGGTGATCACACAGCCCTCCCGAGGATAGCATCTATCATCTTTCGAACCGCGATTCAATTCAGCTATAGATGGCGCTTTCACACATTAGTATGGCGGATAAAACTCGGTATTTTGATTTGTGATCTGACTTCGTACATTCAAAAATGGAGTTACTTAGCTCTTCCGAAATGTTTGATTTTGTTCAAGGAGGCATAAATTCTCGTTGTATTACTGAGCAAAGAGCATTTTAAAAAGCTGATCATTTGGTAATGCACGGAATTTTACTTGAAATCCAATGTACAAGTTTTGGCTTTCTATTTAAGGATAGCGTCCTGATCGCATGAAATCGAAGGACATTTCATTGTTCAAAAAGGACAAATAAAAATTTTAAAAAAAAAAAATTCTTGTTCATGTAAAGGAGGAGGAACTGCTGGCTGTTGTAGGAAATTGTGTCGCTGTTTTATTGTATTGTGACAGGTAGCTGATTTTAACGTTCACTGATTGTAAAGATCAAATGATTTCATATGTGTTTTACTTGGGATTTCTAGAAAATCTGTGCAGTCAAAAGTGTCTTTTTTTCCCATAAAAATGATATTGAATCATTATATGTATACTAAAAAATATATTGATCTATTATATGCATCTATTGTATTTATTATACACATGATAGCACTAATCATCAAATGCAATTTTGAGAATATCAACAAGCAAAGCACTTAAAAATGAAAAAAAGACACTTGTTATAGAAACTATTAATATTCTGTATGTATTATAGAAAATACATGCAATGAATAATACCATGACCAAACATTTCAAAAGAAAAAAAAAAAGCAGATTAAGTATTACCTACCTCAGTACTTGAGAAAGCAATGTGTGGCATATAACATGCAGTTAACTTTTGATTACATGATATTACAAGCATTTTCTTTAGTTTTGTCCTACAAGTGGTTTTTAAACAACTCAATACTGGTAGTTTAATCTCAGCTCAAATCCTGGTGAACAAAAGCTGGCTGTGCAGTTTTTATTTTTTTAATGTGTTTTGTGAATACGAACCAGTTTTCCCTATAAAGTTCTTCATAAAAGCATTCTTCTTCAGGCTGATAACCAATGTGCTTAGCCATATTCAAATAGCCTAATCTAACCTTACCTTTTCCTTAGATTCTATATTCACATGTTATATCTTTATCTGTTAAGATTTGTTCATAACAGAATCACCAGGCTTCTACCAATCTGGCAGGAGCATACTCAAAACATGTCAAAAACATGTGATTTATAACAAAATCGATCATGTTGTCCTTGCAAACCTTTTTAAACGTTCCAAATTTTCTTAATAATCTTATTATTTAGAAATGTGTTTATTGTCGTTTTTATATGAATAAAAGCATTTAAATATATCAATTTTAAAAATAATGGAAGTGTTCTTTAAATCAGTTTTGCTTTTCTAATGCTGTTTTTAATTAATAACTTTATATCTGAGCTAAAAAGTCAAGAATAAGTCTATTAAAAAGTCTGTGTGATAAGTCTATTAATTAATTACATTGTATGAACTTCAACATCTTTGAATATGAAACACCGAACTAACACTTTGAATATGAAACATTCTATATGAAAACACCGAGTCCATTCCAATCTAATAGAAGAATAAATTATACTTACGAATTCACAGTACGAGCTTCTCTGTATTATATTACACAAAGATTAGAAACCAAGTCTCCACATGGAAATCTTACACTGATATGATGGTCTTGTATTGAAACAGAATTGTAGCAACATAGATGATATGAATTACATTATGCCAAAGAATTATTTCATCCTAAATAAATTATAGCATTTAGTTTAACCAAAGACTCACAAAACAAAATTTCAGATTTGGATTAATCTTTGAATTATGGTAACTTGGCGATTTTTTGGCTAAAATTTGGCGACTAACCCTGCTACAGCAACCTGCTAGTTTTTGTTCGGACACCATTTTGTTTTCAAGAAGTAAAGGCATGTTTTTCTTTTACTCAACATTTTTTTCCAACAATCTCCTAGCCGAATTACGCTTATGCTAGAACTTTTATGGAATAAAAGTGCTTAATCATGACGAAGTTTAGGTGCGAAATTGGGACAATGAGCAGAATCGCCCACTGCTTGCCGCGTTTTTACGAATTGCCTATACACGGTATCATCCATGTACACGTCGACCTATTTTCACTTAAAAAAACATCCTAGAATTGCACAAAAATGGCATTGTGCACACTCTTGACTGCATCCATGTACACTGCTAAAGTCCTAGCTAGTAACCTTTATCGCCTTACCAAAATGTCGCAAAACTACCTGTTACCATATTCCAAAGATTAGCCCAGATTTGTTGTAAAATTGGTGTCATGTTTTTCCCTATGCTATAATAACTCCACACATTATCTACATATTTTCTTGTCAGTCAAGAAGATTGATGGAAATATAGTCCTTTCAAAAATTATTGTAACAGATATTTAAGTTACATGATCAACAGAAACTATAGAGATATAGCATATAAAAAAACCTTGAAAAATTATTTGTGGAAATTTGGGAGGAACAGATGCTATTTATTTGGTTAGATAATCAACAGATAAAAGTGGTTTATTAAGGATTTCTCAGTGTTATATGAAACCACCGAGAATTTATGAGTACGTTTTGATATCATGCTTATCCATTATTGGAGCTAATGTACATTGCTATCAGTTTTTGTTAGCCAAAAATGGTCGAAAGTAGAGTAAAAATATTAGGAGTTTGACGATAATCATCAGTATACCATAATGTATTTGCATAGAAATATAATACCCAACAGCCAAAAATAAATTAAACTTATCAAATGAATTTTAGTATGCCATAATGGTTTCATGGGAAAATATAACATACCTCTTAAACAACTACAATCATTATATACAACAGCCATTTCATTATAAAAAAGGCATAAATTATATTAATCAGATAAAAATTTTTTGTAAGAGCTTCACTATCTGGTTATAATTCTTAAGCAAACAAGAAGCCATTTCCAGTACCATAATATAATTTTCATAAGAACTATCCCATTTCATCGCAGAATATTAAAAGCGTTTTGGTAGAAACAAGAAATTTTATGGTAATTTTCCAACCACATTCTAATATTCAAATTGTAGATTTTAAAATTTTATCATTTAAAAAGTACAATTTCATAGAATGCAAATTTTGGTATTTTTCCGTTTCGCCAGCACAAATCTCGCCAAGCAGACTTTATTGGCGACAACACACACAGTATACACATAAAAAATATAGACAAATGTTAGTTCTAAGAATTTTTTATTTTAAAGGTATAAACATTTAAATGTCATTTAAAATTTTGTAAAAAAGCCAATAAATTTTCAAAAAGACATTAATTTAAGAATTTACTATGCTTTCATGGTAAAAGCATCCTGATTTGCCAGTTCACATCACGTGACCCCAAGTGATCTC